AAATTGTGCTTTAATTTACATATCTGTTTTAAAATTTGTGGCATTTAACAATACCTATAAGCCTCAGCACATCGCAACAACAAATTATACGAAATCATGTGACGTTCTTCAAAAAATTAAAAAAAAAAAACAAGCTAAACAAAAGTAATTTATCTTAAGTGGTTTCTATGCGTGCGTCTTTTGCGCGGCTGCCAATCAAGTATACATTTTAATTGCTCAAGTAGCTATTTAGTTGCTTCAATTGGTGAGGCTCCAACAATTAAACATAATTCATATTTGAATGGAATGTTTGACAATTTTGGTTTGCTGTTCATCCAATTTTTTTTTTTTTCATTTTAATTTGCAAAAATTGTTGCTTGTTACGCTTTGTCTAGCAATTGCTAATTTTGTTTCCGCTTTTTTAGGGGCGTTCAAGTGGGCGTTTGGTGTATTGCTTAATTGATTGTTGTGATTTTTTTCACACGACAAGTATTTTGTGTATTTATTAATAATATCTTCGTGCAATTGAAGTGAAACATATTTTTGCATAATTAATAATGTATATTGAATAATGCGAAAACGCGTCATATAAACACAAAAGATATGCAATATTTTGAAGGCTTCTGCAATAAATCTATTCATTTATATAGGAAGAAAAATTACTAAAATTAGAGGTCGCGTGTGAATGGTGATACTTCTTATTCTACGTTCTTATTTTAATCACTCGAACATAAAATATATTTCCCTTTAATTACTGTCAACAATTTAATACAAATTTAAGCCACCTTATAATATTTTTGTATATTAAAGTGCGAAACTTAGATCATTCATTAAATGTTTTTATAAAAATATTTTTAACCAGAAACGCACTCCAAATATTATCTCTTATATATCTTAGGGTCGTAAATGTACGTCTTTCGAGGTTATGTGTTCCTTCATCAAATCAGATATCCTTGCAGTAAGCCTTTACTAGATTCTTGGAAACTTGGAAGCAAAAAGTACTAACAGCACTTGATATTTGGAGAGAATGCTGAATGTGGTTGCTTTGGAAACTAGAATAATTCTAAACAGTAAATGCCGATAGAAACAGAAAATTATTCATTAATTAATATCATTTAAAATATATGTCATTATTTTAATAAAAAATATAACACCAAATTAGTGTTTGGTTAGGTTAAAATACCGATCCAAAAACGTACTGCTAATATAATGGCAGCTACCTCAGCCTGGAGATTTTTCATAAGAGAGAGAGAGCGCGTAAGAGCTCTAGCAGAGAAATGATATTAGTCAAACTTGCGGTATGCTAAGATAATGCTTGGAAATTTGATTTAAATAAAAATAACCATAAAAAGAAATATCTGATAAAATTTATGGAAAATTGTAAAAATACTAAGCTTACCTCCAAAATAAGTAAAAACTTCTTGAATATACATATATTCTCACATATACTCTCAGATCGTACAACATTATTACCATTGCCTCTGCATCACTCACTCACATCATATCAAATATCATATTTAAAATCAATCTTGATAACATCAATTCATTTTAATATTATTATAACAATGATATTATAATCTATTAAAATTATTTTAGTCACCAAATTCATAAAAATTCTCTTCATTCTCCGCAAACTCTTCTAAAAACTCAAGCTGCGAAAACGAGTTTGTGTCTTAAGTCTTTCACATAATGAGTCAGAAGTATTTTAAAAGAAATTAAGATTATTTCCAGCCTCAGCATAGAAAAAAATCTTGCCTATAAATGAGCAGTTATTTATAAATATAAACACCTTATCAAACATTTTTGAAGACTTTTGTAAAAAAAAAAAATTAAAATAATAGGTAAATTTTTATTACAAAAGATATGTACTCCTGTGTGTTTTCAGTAAAAATCTGCTTGTGCAATGAATTGTTGACATCTTTATATTGAGGCACACAATATTTCTTTATATTCATACTTTAAACTTTACTGTTAACCTTTCAGCGCCCACGTGTCACTGATCAAGTTTTCAGCTTTTTTTTACTTCGACATATATGTATCTACATATGCACATTTGAATGTTTCGTCAGGTAACCATTAATCATTTGACCCGCTATAAAGTGCCAAACGGCTGCTAAAGCAAACAAAACAGAACATAATTAATATTTAAATTCTAATTAGCGACAGCAGCTTCAACAAGTGCTGAGAGCATTGTGCCACAGGAATTTTTATAATTTTTGTATTGAAGTCATTCAACTGCTTAATTGTAACAATTAAGGGTAAACGATTTTAATAGTGAGGTTTTAGCTCAATCTAACTATGAAATTTGGATATGTTAAATAATATTATTATTTTTCGTAAAGAAGTGAAGAGTCATGGGTGATTCACCACTCAAGGAATTCTTCACTGTTATTTGCAATGATTACATTAGTATTCTAGCTTTAGGCTTGTGCTACTAATTAGTAATTAAAGCCGATCAACTAAGCACAATTTTAATTATTTTTTAATTGAATGTACAATTTATCTAAATTATAAGTAATTGCAATCAAATTAAGTCGTTTGGAGGCTTATTAATTAAAGTTATCGAATTTTTGATAAAGTGAGTAAAAAACTGATATTTAAAAAAAATTCTTATGACTCGTTAATCTTATATTTATGGTATATCTATTGTAAAGTGTAACTACTAAATGAAGATAGGGCATTCAGTAATGAGGAATAGACATACTTATATACCAGGAAGACTAGTAAAATCGTTTCAAAGAAAAACAACTCCTTTTGTTAATTTTAGTTTTTAGTATTTAGTGTTATTGCCATCAATACATATATGTATATTTAATACATATACATACATATATTATATAATATATTCAATATTTGTAATATGATTAGTCTTTCACCTCAAAATAAATTTCAAATTGTTTTTTCATCGATTATAATCTCTGAGAACAGAACCGCTGTGGGCCAGCACCGGAGTAACATATCTCAATCAACTTTATTTTATAAATTCCGACATATGGTCTCCTTAAGTCAGCATTCATCGTCTTCGGTGCACATGTAGAACTTGCCCAGAATTGAGGAAACCACTTACGTGTAGCTGCTTGGCCTGAGGGAAGGCCACTTAAATACTTAATATCAGCACAAAATCTCATGTAATCCAATTTTTCTTTTCAATATATGAAAACTGCTGTCAGCCATAATGATTTATTCTACTAATCACTTGTCAAACAGCTTTGAGCTTTGTTAAGGCGTATTTTGAATCATATAAAAAATGAGGGATTTATGTCTAGTGACGGTTCTCATATAAACAACTTATAAGCCTGGCATGTTCACATGAACTCGTATATTGTTAGTTCCGATAGCTGACATCTTAGTCGAATACTTGGCATACTTAAGAGGTTATATCAACTTGCAAGTGAAAATAAACTCGCTTTCTCGTGATGATTTTTTTAAGAGGCATTTTTTAATAAAAAATATAAAATAATGTACATTTACTGAAATCAATGTACTTCAATTAATTTTGGACAACTGCGAATTTTGAACTCCTTTGGTCACAAAGCCGACCTTCAGAAGGACCTCCAAAAAGGAGTGTCCGGCAGCGAAAAAGATTGGCTTAAAAAATCAAAACTGTTAACAAAAATCGTATGCCTTTGATCAGGACGTGTAAAAATTTTAAATCGATCAGTCCAACAGTATCGAAAAAATTTGCTCACCCACTCTGAAAAATGCCCTAAATTTTAAAAATCTTAAAAATACGCTCATATTTGCGAAACTATTTATTGAATCCACTTAAAATTTTCGGAGCATATTTTCAAATGATTTTACATTGAAATTTATATGTGGATATTATTCCATTATTAAAAATATGCCTAGATATTTGACAATGAGCTGAACTTTTTCTATAATTTTTGAGTTCGCTTTGCCCTGGATTTGAAATCTTAAAAATAAAAACCCAAATTGACTACATACTCAGTTTTAAATAAAATAATAATAATAACGTTTTGGATTTTTATTAAAGTTGATACAAATTCAAATAATCAAATATATTGTTTTAGCTTTGACTCAGAGTTTCAGATATTTTTGTTATACTCCATTACCCCTATAATTATGAAAATAAAATAAACTACGCTCTAGACTGTATTATTAAAAGAAGAGCTATTACTTCTTTCCACACTTCGAAGCATTTTGCAAATTGAACCAAGCGTTAAATTAATTGTCAGCGAATATTTATGTTAATATGAGCAAGTTATTTGGTGACTCAATATGTAATTCATTGACACACAACTGAAAGCGCAGCGAATTTGGTAAGCGTATTAAATAACAACAAACAAGTTAGCACATTGTCGCAATTTCTTTGTGTCTTTCTTTCTTCAGATGTTTGCTGTTGTTGTGCCCGGCAATTTGGGCAGATAATAAAAACATCGCTTTCCTAAGCAATTTCAAGGTGTGGTGGGATAAGGGTGCGCAGCATTAATATTAATTCAGTTATGCGTTTGATGTGTGTTGATTATGGCGATGATGAGGCAAACTGTTAGGCGCTGACACACTAACACACATACACACTAGCATACACGGTCGGCAGTGCGCTTGCTCTGGCGCATATGTGTCTGTTTGTTGCGATCTTTCGTGTTGATTCATTCGAAAATTTACATATTTATTTGGAGAAAAGTTGTCTCGAGCATGTTGCCAGATTTTGTTTACCTTTCTACCTGCATACGCTTCGCTTGTGGGTCGCTGGAACTGTTGCATGATTAGGTAATAGATTGCAAGTTGTGATTTCGTTGCGGATGCGTGCTTGTAATTAATAATGTTTTAATGTTTTTTTTTTTAATTTTTTGTATTTCTTTTTTATCCCCCGATTTGTATAACGACTAGTGAAATTAATCAATCAATAAAACGGATTTCGTAGCAAATAAGCTTACACATGTTTTTTACATATACATATTATGATATCTTTATTGTAGAATAGCCAGCGTGTTGCCGATTCGAGCAGAGTTAGAGAGCGCAGTCGTCCGTGCGTTACAGCGAAAATGCGGAGACCTAAAATGTTTGGTAAATCTAGTGAAACTGTTATACAAATATTTTTATTATGAAAATATATGTAATTTTATTTTTTGTATGTATGTTTTTAGGTCTGCCATTAGGGTTGCTACTATTGGCGCTGTTAAGCGCTACCAGTGCCCAGGGCACATTCGAAGATGCGGAGACTTCAAATGATTATACAAGGTATTTTTGTGCTTTGTCTTGTAAACAATAAAAAGAACTAGATTATTTTTTTAATTAATTTTATTTAATTAAATTTTTTTTGTTTATAATTTTTAGCGTCATCACACACCAACAATTCGATCTGCGTCACACAATACCCGGCGAACCTGAGGTCGATTATCCCATCTACAGTGAGGTGCCGAAAACGAACTTTGAATGTACTGGAAAACACGAAGGTGGGTCTGAAAAAAACTGCTTAGAGATGAAATATTTTGCTTTCAAATTAAATACACAGTCTTAGAAATATCAAGAAAAAATATTAGCTTCGGTGCAGCCGAAGCTATAATACACTTCACAGGTGCATTACTTATAGCATAAAAGGGTATAAAGAGATTTTTATCTTGATTTTGATCGGTCAGTTTGTATGCCAGCTGTATGCTATAGTGGTCCTATCTGAGTTCGAATTTCTTCGGAGACTCAGATGAATTTGTGTGGCAGCTATATGTTATAGTGCTACGATATTGGCAATTTGCACAAGAGAGCAGCTTCTTGGAGAGAAAAGTATGTGTGCAAAATTTCAGTTCGATATCTCAAAAACTGAGGAACTAGTTGTATGAGAAGGGTTTTTAACTGAAAGATCATCAGTTCCTCAGTTTCTGAGGAATCCATTCCTTAAATTTATACTTTAGAAGAGGCAAATTCTAGTGGGTCGAAAAAGTGAGTGTTACTTCTGTGAGAGGGCTACCAGGGACCTTTTACTGTGCTCTCATAACTCGAAAGAATGCTTGCAGCAAAGAAATTAATTGACAAAGCGCTGGTAATCTCCAAGCTCAGGTGTATTTTTGAACTTAAAGCAAATCGTACCGCAAATATAGTATCGGAAAATCGATGTATCGCCTTCGATGGCAACCATGTTGATAGTATCTTTGAACATATGCAAAATATGATTTTTTTAAATGTTCCGAATTTTTCACCTGTCTAGTATTAATCCACTGAAGCGCGAGATTTCTGGGTAGTTAAAAATCTACAAAGGCTTGCTTTTTATACGTCTACATAATATATTATATATATATTGAGTTTAATAAGAAAATAGTGTCGACTGTAGTGCCCTATATCACTCCCAGTTATAGTAACTGTAAGATCACTCCTTAGGTTGGCATTATCTACGAAATATATTTGAGGAACAAAATAGTTTGACACTTCCTTTTTTTTACTAAGAAATCGCCGTTTCTATGAGTTATGCCTCTCCTACATTTAATAAACTTATTTCGATGATGATATGCCATTGAGCTATGAATCAAATACGAGGTACGACTAAATGAATGATTTATTGTCATAAAAATGCCTTAGACAACACCTTATGGTTATATTGTTTTGAAATCAATATCTAGTAAGACTTGAAAAACAAAATTTTTCTTAGTGAAAAAAAATGTTATTATAGTTATATTCTACTTCAATAGAAATGTAAGTAAAACTCTTTTATGTTGATTTATTTTCGGTTTCTGAAATACTTATCACTTATAACTTATTAATTGCTTTTAGCTGAATAAAATTTAATTAAATTATGCCAATAAAATAATTTAATTATTATAACTTCAAACTCTACTTCAGGTTACTATGCAGACATGGAGACACGTTGTCAGGCCTTTCGCATATGTGCTCACACTGCGCGCGGTACCCAGGGCTTCGGCTTCCTCTGTCCCAATGGCACACTATTCAGTCAGAAGAATTTCGTTTGCGATTGGTATCGCAATGTCAACTGCGCCGAATCGGAACAATACTATAGCAAAAACAGTGCAAATCGCATAGGCAGCAACTCAGATATGATGGAGAAGGTACGTCAAATGATGGAGTATCCGATGAAGACGATATCACGCGCATTACAAAATAAACAAGCATCGCATCATACACTCAAAAAACAATTGGAACTCTCCGAAAGCGTAGTAGATGTTGGTGAGAGTGCTGATGTAGAACCACAATCTAGCCGTGATAGTAGTCAACGCGCTTATTTGAACCGCAAGTCGGCTGTTACACGTGCACAAGTCGAATCCGTATCGAAGACCCTCGTAGATAGCCAACAAAAACAAGTCGAAGATACTATTACACAGCAACGTAAAAGGTTACAGCAACAGAGACAACAACAACGCACCGAAACAACGACACAAAGTAGTAACACACAGCAGACAACAACGAAAATCAGCGACGAAAATGTTTATGTGAATAGTTTAGGTGAATTATCCTCCGATCCGGGTGTTAATTTCAAGCACGACAGCGCACGCATTATAGCCGAGTCGTCCAACCGCACTTATAACAACGAAAAGAAAAGTCGTAGCAATTTTGCTGAAAAGGTGAATGTCGGCTTGAATAGTCTCGCCGAAACAACCGTTCCTGAAGTGTTCGCACCAGATTATGTCAAGCACCTGCGCACAGACGATGAAGATGCAATTTTGGCAGCAAACATAAATAATTTGCTTGAAGAAGTCTCCGAAGATTTGGATACGAGTGTCTCTGGTTATCAAGTGTCAGCGCCGCAGAAGAATAAGACTTCGTTCAGGTTCCTAAGTCGTGGCTTCTCATCGCAAAGTGATCGCTCCAAGCGACCATCCTATGAATATGCCAAACCTAAGCAGACGGCAAGTACGATACGATTTTCGGTGAGTGATATTTCGAATTTCTATTAAATAACTTGATATATTTTTTTAGAATATTTAAGTCAAGTGTTTCAGACTGTTCTAGAATAAAAAACTAGCTGATCAAATATGATCCGGACTGACAAAATAATTCGTTATTAACTATTTTAATGCAAATCTTTTAATGCTCAATCAAAATAGACACCTGAGCCAACACAAGCATGCCAATGCTTAATAAAATGTTCCATACACTTGTTATAAACCGCGGCTGGGAAGGCATTCAGTGTCTTTTCTCGGTTTCGGCTCATTTTTGGAGCGCCATTCGCTAGATTGTTATACGGTTTTGACGTCATTATCATAAATTCTCGCATTCATGCATTCCTCGCATCAGCTCAGCTTGTCAAGCATCTCGTTTTTGTAAAATATCAAGGTCATTTTGTACGGCATTGACATGCTTCATACCCAAAACATTAACCAAAATATGTTTAGTGGATCCATAAGAGAAGTTGGGTTTCGCTGCTATCTCTTTTATGCCAACAAGATAAATTTCAAGCACAGTTTCTTTAACTTTTTCGATGTTATTATATTAACAGAGGTGGATGGACCATTCGCAATAGAGCAAGTTTTCGATAACTTCACGACCTTTACTATCAAGCACTTAGTACCATTCAAATACTTTTGTTCACGATAAAGTCGCTAGATCTTTTCGCGTCCTAAACAAAAGCTACCAAACTCACACTAATTAATATATGAAGGGCAAACTTCTTACGAATTTATAAAAAATTGTACAAATCTAGGCTTAATAATTTTTTATTATTTCGTAGTTAAAACTGTCCAGTACGGGTCAAATTTGATCATTTGTTAAAATTTAAAAAAATATGCTACATTTAAAACTACTACACAAGCGCGAGTCTCCTTCCGAGTTCAGCGATGTTTGTTAAAAATTAACAAATACAATATTTGTGTTGCGTGTTCTTTTGTCACTCGCTTAGAAAAAATCCGACCTATAAATATAGATATTGCTTATCATATCTCTGTACATTTTTAAATACCACTACAAATTCTTACTATATTTCACTTCTTTATCGCTATACATTTATCAGATTTTTCTGTCTATACATTATGTCATATATTTCCATCTTTCTCTCTCTTTCTTGCCACTTCATTTTCAATTAACATATTCGCACTTTGTTCTGCATCATCACCATCACTCTACACATTCCAAAACTACGCTATGTCATTGGGTACAACCCAACTCTACACAAAATACACTTCGCGAAATTATGAATTATGAATTATGGGGTTTGAAGCCTAACGAGCTGCCCATCGACGACACTTATAAAGATACGAAAGAATCTATAGAGCCAAAACCAAATACCCACGACGATAACAGTGCCACTTTTGATAGCACTGACGAAACAATGAAATTTATCATTATGACAACTACGCCCACACCGATCCAGCCAGCCGAAATAGTTAAAGACACTGCTGCGAAGGTCGGTGTCAAAGTAGTAACTGATATAATTGAATCTGCGGCAGGATTCAGAGACGCGCTAGAGTACGAGACAACGGAAGGTCTCGTAGCCCTCACCACACCGGCAGCGTCTACTTATGTCAATGCAGACCGATATTATTTGAATAATGCCAGCAACAAGCCACAAAATTTAGAATACAACTTCCTCAGTCCACCGGTGCCAGAGTCCGAGGGTGACACTGAGAATTCAACGGCTGACGCACCGACACTGTATGAGTTTAACAATTTCGACGGTGGCAGTAGTACAGCACAGGGAATTACTAATGCGACACCAAATTCTATAGAAACGTTCGGCGACTTGACACAAACCGAGACAACTACAGTGAGCGCAGCATCCACGTTGGCACAAGATACTAGCGCTCTGGCAGATTTGTATGCAAATATTGTGGAAAAACTGCTTTTTCCAGCGCAAGAGGAAACAACAACAGCAAGCAGCACAACAACAACGTCAGCTAAAGCGCCAACGGAGACATCAACTTATCCGCCGATAGTGGATGAGGAGATACTGGATGTAGAACATCAAGCAACCAAACTATTGCTGGCTGGTGTCAAATTGACAAAACACAGCAACGACGAAAAAGATGAGAACACACTGAAAGCAAGTGGCTCATATAGCGCTATATTGGATCCAACTTACGGCGAGGGCGGCGCGCTTTTCATTCATGTGGACGACGATATAGCAACAGAGAGCACTACAACAACTACTACAACAACTACTACAACGACAACGACAACCACCGCGCAACCGGAAACGAGTACAAGTGTAATAGCAAGTCTGAGCGAAGGCGGCGGCTTTCAGGAGCGCATACGGAATTATCGGCGCTTCGCTTCACAGCAACGCGGTAACGCGAAACCATCAGTCAACGTGAAGCGCAATCAGCTGCAAGTTAGCGGCAAGCTAACAACTACAACAACTAAAGCACCTAGCAGCAATAGCACCACAACAACACGTAGTTATTTGAAGCGCATCGCCGCAAGCCGCTTGCGTTTGTCACGTCTCTCAGCGGCTAATAATCGCCTAGCCACTGCAACACCAAGTACGACAACTGATGCGGCCACTGTTGAATATAGCAATACCAACAACAACAGCGTTGAGTCATCGCAAACAAGCAGGAAAATCGCTGTACGGAATATAGACAAAGAGTTGGACAGCATTGGCGGCGGTAAGCATTATGATGCGCGCGGCAATTCCTTTGACAGGGATGGCGCAAACAAGCGCGGCACCACCAGCAGTCCAGCTGTATTAGACGAGAGCAGCACAAGCAGCACGTCGCCGGGTTGGAATGTAAAGCGCAATAATTTGCGGCGATTTCAAGTGAGTCACAAGCCAACCACCGTTTCAACTACAACTGTAAGTCCGGGCCGCGCGCCAACTAAGGCGACGCGCAACAACGCGGCGCGCACGCGTAACCGTTTTTCAAATTTTAAAACGCAGACAAGCTCTGCGACAACGACGACTGCTGCAACAACAACAACAACAACAACGACTACGCCCACTACGACTGCCGCACCGGCAACAGTGCAGTCAACGTCAATTGCGCCCACCGCTTACTCACTCAGTCCTACACCAAATCTTGATCACATACTAAAATCCTTCACTTCTTCTATTTCCTATTCAACTTCCACTTCAACTAAAGATCAATCACCCTTGAGCATTGCTGAACGACCAACCACTTTTGGGGTGGTGGAAAATGTTGATGCAGCTCAAACTTATCAAATATACGACTTGACTTCCCCGTCTGCCTCTGCTTATACTTCTACACCTATATCTGCTTACGAATTTCCCTCCATTTCAACCACTTCTTCTTCCCCCATATCTATCGACACACATGCCGATGACTCGGCAACATTTCTCGATTTCGATAAGTTAACACGCGCCATTGTTGATGATTCCGTCTTACAGAATTTCCGCACTCAACAGCTGTCTAGCCGACCGTCCACTGTCTTTCAGACAGCGCCAGTCACCGTCGCGCGTTCACTGTCAGCGAACAGTAATGATCGTGCTGTGGGCAACTCTGTACCACAGAGCTATAATAAGCTGACGCCGCAAGGTGAGTTCGCTTAACGTGTGCCTGCGCGCTCCTAAGCAACAGTTTTCTGTATATTGCAAATGCATACATATATACACACACACACACGCCCTAGTTCACACACACGTACATACATATTACACTCAATAGCGCAAATTGATATGTGACAAAACTCAAACAAACGCCTTTCAACTCACTTCCTCTTTGCAGCTCCCGCTCAGCTAACGTCTCCACAGCGCTCACAACAATTGCCACAGATTGTCCAACAGCACACACCCCCCACATCCCCTGCACCGCGTATTATTATTGCGCGCGCAGAAGGCCAGCGCATAGCACCGAACTCAGTGTCATCGATTATATCGGCGCTGGCGACGCAGCCGCCACCCAAGACCACGCCGCCTTCGTCTTATGTGGCGCTGGACGACTTTCTTACGAAGAAGTTCGGTCAAACCGCGCCGGGTTATACCAAAATGAATGCTGCAACGAAGCAGGCAATAAACTATAATAATCAACAACAACAACAATATAAGACAGCACAAAGTCCGCAACAGAATTATTATCAAAAAACACAACAAACTCAGCCGCTCTACAACCGCGCCGCAACGCAGGATATACAATTACAGGACCAAAAACAACAACAAGCGCAACAATCTGCACAACAGCAGCAGCAAAAATTTAATCAGCAATTTCAGCAGCAACAACAACAGCAATTACTACAACAGCAGCAACAACTTCAACAACTGAAATTCCAGCAGCAACAACAACTAGAATTTCAGCAACAGCAGCAGAAAATACAACAACAGTTACAGCAACAACAACTACAACAGCAGCAACAATATGCGCGACAACAACTTAATGAGCAGCAATATTTTCAGAAATTCGCAAAGTCAGCAACAACAAAAGTAAGCCATGCGCAACAACAACAACAGCAGCAACCCTTGTGGCAACAAAAGCAGCAACAACAAATACTTTCGTATCAGTCAGCGCCGCAGCAGAAGCAATACTCACAGCAAAAACAAACGTATCTGCAGCAAACACAGTCGCAAATGCAACAACAACCAACCACAGCGACAACAAATCCATTTAATTATGCACAACAACAACAGCGTTCTCAACAATCCACATCGAACTTCTTCACTAACTTCCAGCAACAACAACAACCACCACAACAACAGCAGTTTTCACAATTTCCGCCATTCACCAGCTCAGTTGGTGCATCGCAATCACAGCAACTGTTATTTGACGAACTCAGCAATAGCATCGTGCCGCCCGAACATGACCATCATCTGAATATACAATTGCCGGCGCTCACCGCAGGTCTCATACCGGCGCCTACAGCAACAACATTCACAGCGCAACGTCGCATGGATGTCGTAGACGCTGCTGAAAATGAAAACTCTAGTATTTACAACGAGCCGGGTAGCAGCAGCAGCGCCTATAATGGTGTCAGCTCATATGACGTGCCGTTGAGCAGCATCGGTCGACTGCCGAACGACATAACACATCTACTGAGGCGACTACGCAAAATCAAATAAAATTACCCAACTACCTCCACCAGCCGCCGCTGTTGCCATAGCAGAAATTAGTAGCTAGAAAAAAAGTGATGCAGACTATGCTCGGTATATGTGTGTAGTAGCTAGTTAGATTTACTCAGTTAAGTAGCGATTTTTGCCTCACAATTATTTTACGTTTACGTGTTTTCTATAATCTTCGCTAACTGAATCCTTTTTCCTTTCATCTAAATTATTAATTTTCTATTGTTTATATTACTCACTATCATGGTTTTAGTTCAATTATAAGTCGGTACAAAAACCCATTACTGCCATTAAATTTAAGCTACTCTATTATTTTATAAGTACATTCGACTTTGTTCGGTCGTCGGAGCGAATAATTGTAGTTCTATTATTTATTTTTATTGAAATAAACGAATTAGTAAAACTTGAAAAGTGAATTGTTTACAAATTCTTTGGAGAATATAACACGAATCTACAGTATGTATATATGGTGTAGTAAAAATAAATCCCTTACTTTTGCATTAAATTTAATGACCTGAATCCACCAATCACAAAACCATCAGAAAAGATTGTTTAAGTACGAAATATCATCTTTCTAACGCCATCCAGCTGAACCCGTTTGGACTCATACAACGCGAGATACAGATAAATAACGCTATCTATTGGAAAAATTATGGATTACTTTTTACTACATGAACAAAAGACTTAAGCGACGAACTTGATTGTGGCCTTGTCAAGGAATAGCACGCAGTTGCGGTGAAGATATTATATACTTGTATGTGCATAGCAGTCAAACTTTACTTTTAGAAATTTTTAAGGGTTAGCTTGAGCCATGAAATTTTCAGCATCTATTCAATTTTTAAAGCATATACATCCCTCTCAAAATCCGAGAGAGGGAAAGGGAGTAAGAAATGGAAAGAGAGAGAGAAAAAACGATTAAGAGAAAAATCGACTGAGAGAGAAAAAAACGATGGAAAGAGAAAAATCGATTGAGAGAGAGAAAAAAGGATTGAGAGAGAGAAAACAATTAGGAGAGATAGAGAAAATAGAGAGAGAGAAAAAAAAATTGAGAAAGAGAAAACGATTGAGAGAGAGAGAGAGAGAGAAAACGATTGAGAGAGAGAGAGAGAGAGAGAAAACGATTGAGAGAGAGAGAGAAAACGATTGAGAGAAAGAGAGAGAGAAAACGATTGAGAAAGAGAGAGAGAAAACGATTGAGAAAGAGAGAGAGAAAACGATTGAGACAGAGAGAGAGAGAGAGAGAGAAAACGATTGAGAGAGAGAGAGAAAACGATTGAGAGAGAGAGAGAAAACGATTGAGAGAGAGAGAAAACGATTGAGAGAGAGAGAGAGAAAACGATTGAGAGAGAGAGAGAAAACGATTGAGAGAGAGAGAGAGAAAACGATTGAGAGAGAGAGAGAAAACGATTGAGAGAGAGAGAGAAAACGATTGAGAGAGAGAAAACAATTGAGAGAGATCGGTTACAATGTCCCATTACCTTATATAAAGCCTAGCATCAACATCGCCAAAAATTTAAACAACATTTTTTTTGTATTTTTTTGTTTTCAATTAAAAGAAACAATACGCATATAGTTTTATTTATTTCACAATTATATTGTTTTGTCATTTACTTATATCATTTCGTTTATCAATTTTATTTTCACCACTTGAAACATAGCACACCTTCTTCACCGGGTCACTTGAGACTATATATTTAACTTACATATTTCGTTAGTTATACACTTCTATGCATGTGCATGTGTGAGTGGATAAGACTTATCGATGTGTATGCGTGACTGTTTACGTTGTGTGTATGTGTGTGTGTGTGTGCATTAAATTTAATATCAATTAGTATTAATTAAAATTACAGTTAATCACTTAGTCCAAAATGATGCTGACATTCAAACAGCACTTTTAATTGGTATGTTTGTTGTATTGTATTAGATTGTATTGAATTATATAGTAAATACAATGCGAAAATTACAAATTACGGTACAATAATTACATTAAATTAATTAAATACATAAATACTAGAGTTTGCAGATATTTTTGTTTGATGTACAACTACTTTAATTATTGTTGTTGTTTTTTTTTATTTTATTTATTTTTTAATATTTCCTTTTTGATTTTATGTTTACACCTTTCACTATGGATATTAAGTTAGTTGGGTTTTATGTATTTATGCATGTATGTCGATGTGTGTACACAGGCTTAGAATTATTTTAAATTTTAAGAGATTTATTTATATTTGTGTGTATTGTTTTAATCAATTTATTGTTGTATGCATTTATGCATGATTTCCAGTATTGTTGCCATACTACTTTATTTAAGACTTTCTGCTATATATATATTATGTATGTATGTATATGCTTTAATTATACAAGTTATCTGCGTTATTTTTACTTTTTAACTGTGTTTGTTGTAGTCTAAGCATAATTTATAGCAAACTAAAACTAAATTTGTTTAAAACTAAAACCAAAGCATTTTCACTCGTGTTTTTATGAAAAATGTATTTTAATTTTGCATAAATTTAATTAAAACCCCACATGTGGCAACGCCATGATATCTATGCTATAACGTACCTTTTCTTAGTTACTTGTTTTTATATATATATTATGTTTCTAACATATTTGAGAATCATTTTATATTACATACGAATTGTTATTGTTGTCATTGGTAGCATCTTTTGTGTACAAAAACAAAAAACAAAAAACATAAGAATAATTAAGTAAATTGCGCTTCTCAGCGTAGTGTTTTGAAATAATTAAGAATTTTGTATTTACTTTGTACCTATGTACATATGTATGTATGTATAGACTATGTTAATTTTTATTTTAAATTTTAATTTTCTCACTGTCAGTTGAGTCTATAATTTCGATAATAGTTGCAATTTTTTACATTTAATAGAGAATCTGTAGAATATCTTTATTATATATGCATTTAGTTACAAAATTAATGAAGTATAAATATAGACTGCTAAAGAGCATACATGTCTCATATGATTGTGGATTTCTCTTTTCATACATGTAAAATTATTGATTTATTTATATTTATGCCCTTATTTTGCCTATTTTTGAAACAATTTACAAAAACAAAGAAATGTAATGTTTGAAAACTATTGTAGCGAGTCTCCAAAATTTAATTTATCCAACCTTTCAGTACAACAATAAATATTTGCATTTAAACAGCTTCCTTAAACGCATGCCTTTAAATAAAAAAATATAAATAAAATAAAAATACACATTTCATCATTCAACAACGCTCTATTCAACTTATTTGCAAATGTAGTTAGTTTGCTGTAACGATGTGCATTTCTATCTAAAAGTATTCAAAAATCACTGAGAGACTTCGAACCAAATATGTATATGTATGTACCACTTACATAATATTTATTATTATATAAAAGTGAGATTTTGCTTAATTATTCGTATATATAATTTATAAATAAAAATATATAAAAATGTTTAAGAAATAAAAATTAAAAATACATATTAAAGAAACATTACAAAAATATATTAAAAAAAATTATAAGTAAATATATACATTTATTAAAGAAAATGTAAAAAATTAAAAAGTATAAAAATAAAATGTATAAACAAAATATCAAAAAAAACAATGTATAAAACAAATATCAAAAAAAAATGTATAAACAAATATCAAAAAAATGTATAAACAAAAATATCAAAAAAATGTATAAACAAAATATCAAAAAAATGTATAAACAAATATCAAAAAAAAAAAAAAATTATAAACAAAATATCAAAAAAAAATATAAATATAAAAAAATATAAATATAAAAATATATAAATATAAAAAAATAAAAATATAAAAAAAATTTAAATATAATAAAATTAAAAAATATTAAAAAATAAAAATATAAAAAACAAATAAAAATAAAAAAATATAAAAAAAAATAAGAATATAAAAAAAAATAGAAATATAAAAAAAATAGAAATATAAAAATAAATAGAAATATAAAAAAAAATAAATTTATAAACAAAAATAATAAAAAAAAATATAAATAAAAATAGTAAAAAATAAAAATTATTAAGAGAATTTATAATATAAAATATAACATATATGTACATATATTAAAAATATACAATAAAATTAAAAAAAATATTAATTCAATAATATTTTAGGAAAAAATGGCAATATTGTTATGATAGTTGCAAATTATTATTATATTTTATTCATTATCTTACTTTTATTTTCACTATGAATATATGAAGTGGTTTATTTTAAAACCATTTTGGAACCGTTACATTATTTATTTTTCAAAACAAAATGACTCGCGCGGCTTTTGCGGTAAAAAAAAAAACAAAAAAAAAAAACGAGAAAACAAATATAAAGTACATGCAGCCTGACCGGAATATGAAATTTGGTATTTTTAAATAATTTACATGCATTCATATCATATCGCAATAACACCCTTAACTTTAAATAATATATATTTCTCTTACTGCTAGCTCATTATATATTCTAGCTCATCATATATTTTATTCACCCTCGACTTGAAGCAATTAAAATTACTTTCCCCACTAATAATCTTATGTAGTTTTATGCCAATTAAGAATATTTATATACAAATATCTCACGATTATGCCATAATATATGTATGTATGTGCTATATATAGAGTATAATTTATGTAAAAACTAAGAACTAAACCAAATTTGAAGTAAAACAAATATTGTAAAAAAATCGAACGGATTTTTGTTATTTTTTTCTGCAAATCCACCACATGCTAGACAAACCGATGCGTAACAAACAATATTTTTGATCTAGAAAAAATGTTTAGCGCTAAAATTTCTCACAATATTCTTGTGTACATTCTGTGTGTAAGGGGAGCTTAAAGTTAATTGTAAAATTGAAGTTCCTAATATAGTACACTACTATTATTACAGCTTAAAATTGTTTATGCTTAAAATTAACGAATGTTTAGCGAAACGCAAATAAACAAAGCAACGACCTGCATTCGTAGCTTCACGAACACTTCACGTAGCTGACACAACGCGACGCTTACTGCTGGCTGAGAGCAGTGTGCACTTATATTTTGTTCTAGTGCTTTATTTCGACTTGCGCTGTGCAGTTGACTTCGCTAAGCAACGTTGACGACGCGCACCCTGTTGCGCACGCGATCGTGGACGGTGACACTCAGTTGCCTGCGATTCTCAGGAATTTTCCAAAACTGCTGATTGTTGTTGTTGCAGTGCTGCTAATGCTGATAATGTTGTCGGTACTATGGCCGGTTGCACGGCATGCTGTTGACAGTGTACTTTCATTGTCGATTCGTTTAAACTCCAACCTGCTGCGCGTGCACATGGCACATGAGCGGCTGCCTTGCAGTCACGCTGCAGACAACACACAATCGCACCAGGCTTATTACACAGTACACAATGATAGTTGGTGCTGGTCCAGACCGCCGCATCGAGTCCCATAACACGTACACCCACCAAGTATACGCCCGGCGCCCAAACAATGCAATCTTCATGCAACCATACTTCATAGCTCTTGTCCGAAACTTTAGACATGCCGAGAAAGTTCTGCTGCAGTGTCTCATCTGCGCTGCAGTCCAGCGGATCAATAATCGCCGAAGCTTCAGTATTTGAGTTACCGCAGGCGTTTGTGTCTTGAGAATTCTTTTTCTTTTTACCCTGCAAAAGGGAGTCGCAACTAAAGAAGTCATGCTGGCGCAAGGTGATTGGTATACTTACCGCACCGCTGGTGCGTGTAGCAGTAACTGTCGCACCCATGGTCGTTGTGCAGTTTTTAGCTGGCACCACGGGCAAATTGCGCGGATTCGTCTGTACCATATCTAGACGCCGTCGTTTGCTTACAAAAATCGCATCCATATCGATGGTGTCGGGCGTTTTTACGGCCGCCTTATATTCCTCGCAATCGATTGTGACCAGGTAGGGTCCGAATAAGTCGCCCAGCCCTAGGCGATGCGGTCCGCGCTTACAAAATACACATATCCACGTTGAGTCTGTGGTATCCGCATCGTATTTATTGCTCAGCGTTGAGGAGTGCAGGCCTCGCAGGTTTTTCCGATCGTGTGCATAGCCAGCAGCACCCGACGGTTTTTTCACCTGCCGCGCGGCTGCATTCTTCTCATTGACATCTTCGGCATTTAAGGGCGCATTCACCACATTTATGCTGCCATCACGCTTCACCAAAATGAATGGAGATTTATTTTTTATTTGTTCCGCTGTGGCGGATGGCGCTATAGGCGCATCATCATCGGATGAATGTTGTTGCTGTTTGCGCCGTTGTTGCTGTTGCTGTTTAGGCGTTAATTTCTTCTTGGCGCCATTCTTGCCAGCATCCGCGGCGCGACTCGGTCGTTTGCGCGTGTCTTGCGTTTTGCGGCCTTTAGCAGCTTTAGACGTCGTCTTGGCATTTGCGTTACTGCTGTTGCCGCCAGCAGCCTGTGTGGTCGCTTCTTTGGCTGTTTTTGCTGCCAATGCTGCCGCTGCAGCAGCTGATGTGCTCGGTTGATCGTCATCATCCTCCAAACATATAACGACGTCCTTCTTTTGTTCGCTGTTGTTTTGCGAACTATTGTTGTTTCTTTTGGCGCTGGTTGTGCGTTTACCGCGCTGTGGACGTGCCTCCGCAAAGTCAACATCATCATCGTCCAACAGTATACGCAAATTTGCAGGATCCATGGCGACAGAGAGACGGCGTCGCGGCGGTCCGCTTCTTCGGCCCGTTGCTGCAGTTGTTGCAGCCGCTATATTATTCGTTTTCGTGTCTTCTTTATTGGCTGTGGTTTGTGCACGCTCCGCATCGACAGTTTGCAGGTCTGCGGTGGTAGTTTTGCGTATAGGACTAGGTAGTGTCGATTTTTTGGCGGCTTTAGTCGGTGGTGGACCTTCCGTGCGTACGTGTAGTGGCGTGCTCACATCTTGCGCTGTAGAGTTCATAGACTTGTTCGCCTCCTGTGATGCATCTGATGAAAGTGCGGGTGCGCTATGCTGTGTGTTGGGGTTAGCGCTAGATAGCTCTAAAGCTAAACTCAAATCGCGCACTACTTCAGTGGTATTGGCGGGCGGCTGTGAAGTAAGATCTTCGGTCTCCGGTATGATGGGCTCATCTTCGATGCCGGCAAACATTTCTTCCAACTTATTTTCAACCTACGGACGTTTTTAAAGAACTCATTAGATCAAAATATACTTCGTTTTGAATATTCTACAAGCTTACCTCTTCAAATGCCGCTGTCACTGTGTCGCTCTTATGTGCATTTAAATTCAGTGGTTCGGCATCGGCAGTTTGCGTCGGCGCTTGTCGCTCGTTTGAAGTTTGTCGTGTGCGCTTATTGTCATCTTCCAAAGCTGTCGTTGTTGTTGCTATAACTGGACACTGGCTTCCCGATGTTTTGCTCTCTGCATGCGTTGTCGTTGTTGTTGTCTTGCTGCTGCGACTGGAGTTACTGCAACTGGAAGTGCTGGACGAACTGCTGCTGCTGTGACTATTACTTTGCGGACTTAGTGGTGGTGGCTGCCTCATGCGCGCATCTCCTTGCGACTCCATACGATTGCCAGCTTCAACATCGCCCTCGTTTTCATTGGTTTGCGCTGCGGATTTGTCGCCATTAGCCTCCTCCAGTTGCTGTAATTCTGATTGCATCAATTCTTTGCGCAACTCATCGACGGCAACGGCATTATCGTTGACGGGCATACATCTATTGGTGGCGGTGGTATTTCCTATGGCGCTATATGAATTGCTTGAGCCATTCGAATTCGAATTGTATTCGGCGGCGTTGCGCAATTTCAACGCTTGCCGTTGCTTTTTGGTTTTCGGGCTGCCGCTACTGAGAGCGGCGCTGTCACGTTCACCAACACTCTTTATGCTTGAATTACTGTTCGCGTCCACGTGTGTTGCGCTGTCATTTGCGGTGCTGGCGATCATGGCGCTGATTTTGTCAATTGTCTCCACTTCGGAGTCGGCAAATGTTTCTGCCGTTGTGCCCAATGGAGTTGAGGCCGAGCCAATTGTTGGCGGTATGCGTCCATTCTCCATTGTTTGGCTTGTCGGCGAGGATGGTGTAGAGGCGATTGCCATTTTTTCGGGCTGTGTGTGTGTTGTACCTAAATTTGCCGTTGCAGTGGGAGGTGATTTGTTGAAATTGCTTGCAGGAGATTTGCTGTAAGATGGGAAAAGCATATTGAAAATAAATTTATAAGCAAAAACTCGAAAAACTATTTACTCACATATCAGCTTTGCGCGGTGAACGACGCACTTGTTCCGTTGGCGACGACTTTGGACTGCGTGGAATGTTGTTCCTAGACAATTGTTGGTACTGCTGCTGTGGTGAGTTGTCTTGGCCTTGTGTTGGCATTAAAACACTGCCGAAATCTACAGCCTCTGCACCGGATGATTTGGTGTCACCACTACGTTTATGTAGACGTTGTCGAAAACCTGCGCCTCCTCCGCCGCCACTACTATTGCTATTCGAATCCAAAGACTCGCAATGCGATGAAATAGCTTCCGGTGAAGGCGACTCGGCGCTGTCGGGTATGCAAGCCGCTTTGGGCGCACTGTTCCCGCTGGTGGAGTACGTATTATTCGCACCACTGTTGACTGCTGTCGGTGAGAGATCAGCTATAACGGTGTTATCAGCAGATGGTGACGATTTTTTCAACTCTGCTGTGTGCACGTTGTACGTGTTGGTATTTGATGCATTGGTTGCAGCAGCAGGCGCCATATCATCGAGATGCGTGTAATTGGTGGAATTGGTGTGTTGTATGTGGGTGTTCAGTGAACGATGCATTGGTGGTGATTGGTTTTGTTGTTGTTGCTGTGCTGATAAAGACTGTTGTTGTTGTTGGTGCATGCGTGGCGATACTTGGTGTTGATGTTGTTGATTTTGATGCATTTGCGTGTGTAGGTGTTGTTGCGATGGCATATGATGCTGCTGATTTTGTTGCGACAATTGTGTTGCTTGCTGTTGATGCTGTGTTGGCTGCTGCGGCAAGAGACTGTGTGGCAGCTGATGTGCATGCGGGTGTGGTGGATAATGTAGAGCATGTGGTGGCGGTGGGGGTGGCAAATGTTGCGACATATGTTGTTGTTGTTGTTGATGTGGATAAGCGTTCTGCGGTTGCGACTGCTGCTGTTGCTGCTGCAAATGCATTTGATTATAGTCCATGCCATGTAAGGGTCCACCAGTTTGCTGATGCATTACGGGTGATTGTGGTGTGGGCGGTGTATGTGGTCCGTTATGCTTCATGGCAGACTGTGGTGGGTTATTGAAAGCTGGTGGCTGCTGCTGATGTTGCTGCTGCTGCTGATGATGATGCTGATGTTGTTGTTGCGCATGATAATTGCGCAATGGTGATTCTAAATAGAATAATAAAGATAATTTAATATATAAGTCTACATGATTTTTTGGAAAAGTAAACATTTCGCTTACGCTTCTTGGGAGAAACTTGTGACTGTTGTTGATGTTGCTGTTGCTGCGCATGCGACTGCATTTTATTTGTTATAAGCGAAGTGTAATTACAATCTTTGCTGACCAACTCAACCGGCTTTGGTCCGGCGCCTTTGGACTGCAACTAAAGAAGTAAAACATAAGTTTGAGACTTTTTTAATATTTATATGCTATCTATAACGTACCTCAGATTCATAGTTACGCGCCAAATGCGGTACTTTACCATAGGCTTCACTCATATGGCTAGGAGCATCGTTAGGCTCGCGCATATAACTATGCACAGGGCTTGGACCGCCGCCTCCTCCACCAGCGGTACCGCTGCTCGCACTCGCACCGTTATTATTGCCACCTACTGACGACGAACCGCCAGAATTTGAGCCACCAGGTGGCAGCATACCTTCACAATCATTGCCATTCGTATTCATATATTTACCGGGACCTTGACTACCAGCTGGGGAGGCAGGCGATTGCGGTGTGGCGCCACTTTGCATGCCATGTGTGGCTGGTGAAGATTGCAATGCAGATAATTGAGAGCGATGTGCGTGCTGCGACTGTTGTTGTTGTTGCTGTTGCTGCTGCTGCTGCTGTTGTGCCAAGCTAGAAGGTGAGTTCGACGATAAATTATGACTAAAAACAAAGCGGCAAATTTAAGTGTTACTCTTCATTGCAGACACTTAATTTACTTACATCGGGTAACTATTCGGTCCATGATGTTGTGATTGCTGCTGCTGCTGTTGTTGTTGTTGTTGCTGCTGATGCTGATGCGCTTGTGGCTGGTGGGAATGTTGCTGATGTTGATGTGGAGGCGGTGGTCCTGGCGGCTGTGGCGTGGCCGCATGCTTATGACCACCGTACTCATGTGTCAGCATACCAGGCGCATGACCACCAACGATTTTGTTCAGCGGTGAACTTGAACTGCGACTTGATTGCAGCGATAAGTCCATTGAGTCGAATGGCGGTAAAAGCGAACGAGGCAGCAGCGAATTCATCTGATGTTCAAGCTATTGAAATAAAAATTTAGCATAAGATGATTGGCTTTTATAAAACGTATACCACGCATTAGTATTCCATTATTTAACGGTAAGTAGCTGAAGTTGAGCTTTTTTTATGGTAAGTGATATAAAATTATTTAAAAAGTTTTTTGGCATACAAATGAGCATGTTAGTAAGCAATTTACAGTTATTTGGTAGATTAGTTGTTAGAAATTATGTAAAGAACAAACTACTGTTATTCCATTTGTAGTTCTACATTAAAATTATGCACTCAGTTCATTGAATTATTAACACAATAATTAGTAACGCTTTGCATACGGTAAAAAATTACAGAGTTAATATATATTCAAAAGATAGGGATACCAAGTGCAAAAGAAATCTGCTATCTAGAAGATATTTGAGCAAAATATAATTATTATATTGGTCTTCTTTAATAGTTCCGCCTTAAGCTACTTACTGAAACAATCCAGTTAAGAGAAGTTATATGAACTAAAATCAATAACTTATCTGACAAATTTGTAAATATTGAAATCAGCATAAAGTATTTATAAAAAATAGGGCCAAAATTAAATAGGAATACTTTAAATAAAACTGAGTTGGAAAATAATGAAAAAAATAAATAAATAATTCAAATCTAAACCTAATCAAAAAGATATGAGTGAAAATTAAAAACTATTAATTCTAATCTTGTTATTAAATTGAAATATTCTGCATATAACATGAAGACGAAATATATTACTCAAGCACTGAGTTGTTTTCTAGCTTAATAGGTGCATTTACATTTTTATGATTGGCCGACATGAAATTATATAGGGAATCCGGTGGCGGTGCCGGCGCATGCCAAGCCGATGGTGAACGCACCATGGGACGTTCGTTCGACATATGCGCCAACTGTGGCTGCCTCGGTATATACGATGGTATCTGTATTTAAGTATAATAAAACATTACAATGATATTTATGTACACATATGTATGTATATCTATTTTTAGTGAGATGTACTTATATATTATAAATAAAACGAGCGTTATAACAAGACGCACAATTTTTATTAATTAATTTTTAGATCTGGTTAGTAATATGTATTTCAGAATTTTCAGTTTACAAACTTACTTGCAAATGATTCCATGAAGGATTTTGCGTCGGTTGGCTTATGTGTCCATGTGGATTATTATTAGACATTTCACCTTATTCGTTGCTGTTGATCAAGTTTAAGTTCAAGGATTTCCACTAAATAGTGCAGATATTTTAGTTATCAAGCATTGAGGACTGCACCTTGTGTTTTAAGTTAAAAAAAAAATACAACGAGTAATATGTTAGAAATACGTAAAATTATTTGAGTATATAAATTTTGATAATTTTATTATGGTTTTTTATTTGTCCACGTTGGTCGCGCGTTGTTTTTTTTATTTTTTATTTTTTTGTTTGCATATGCAATGATTTAATATTTATTTTATTTTTTTAAAAAATTATGATAATCCGTATTCTAATTTAATTTTCAAACACCTTTTATTATGACATAAATATACTAACAACACGATATAAAATAGGCGTACTCTAAAATACATTTTAAGTGAGATACTATCACAATATGCAATAGTCAAACACAATTCATCACATTTAATTGGTAAGTGCTATAACTTAATAGAGCAGACACTTGCACAGATCCTGCGGCCCGCAGCCCACAGGCGAAAAATTATGTACACACATACATTTACGAACTTCATTTATCCAGAACACTAACAAAATCCATGCGTTTAATTTTTGCACATAGCGCATATTTACGCATTCTCACCTAACTGTTTCATTTTAGTATAATATTGATATTTATTTGATTACAGAAATGGGAATTAGAGGCGAAATAAAATTTTGTCCATACGCCACACTAATCTCACCTATACACAATTCTTTTCCTTTTGTGCTTCTACTCCGGCAACTTTTCCACTTTTATATTTCCCCTTGATATTCCGCTTTTGATCTTCTGCCACAATATACAAGGCGAAAATAGACAAAACATATGTAAGAAAAAGTATGACAGCTAGCAGCTGTATATATGACAGAGCGCCCTCCAAATGTCAACGATTATTGCTTGTATATTCCAAATAAAAAGATGTTCGAGATTTAAATAGTTATTAGTTACATATTTGTTTTCTTAACCCCTTTGGAACAAAGAGTAAAGGTAAGGAAGGAAGGCTCACATCACATATATAGTGTTTGTACCAATACTTAGTTCTTATAATTTAAATACATTTAGTTAATTTTTTAATTAATCTAGCCTATTAATTTGTAATAAGCTTTAGTACACATAACACAAATTTTCCAATAGTTTTTCGTTTCATATAGCAAAATTCGAATAATCACTCAATATCTCGTGCTAATTTGTTTTCGCATAATTCCTCTTTTTGCACAAATTCTTGTTTACATCGCTTGAAAATATCGTGCATCTCATTTACACTTACATAACAAAATCCAGTGCACACATTTCTCACTCTTTCAACTACATGATTGCCTATTTTAATGTTTCTTCATCACGGCGAGAAGATTTGTTTCTGCACTTTAAACATTTTCGCTATTCACTATCAAACGAATTTCGCTTGTGCCGCCTGCAGAGGCTCTCGCTGCGCTACTTTTTCAGATGTGCTTGCTGCACCCGCTTTGTGCGATTTTCACACGATTTTTTACTCCACATTTTCTTAACCAAAACACCTTTTCACTCCAAAGTAATTCTTCTATAAAAGTTATCGTCTATTTCTTTACACTGCACTCGCAGTTAAACTGCTTTTCTGATGTAACCTCCACTTATAAACAGAATTATTTAACACTTACTAATCTTTAAGCAGTCTATTAAATTTTCTTAATTTTTCCAACTATTCTTCGGCAAAATAAGCACACAATTCATAAATCCGACTCCAGTGTTGCGTTAATGAAATACTTTTTCATTCCGATATGATGACACAAGGTTGCAATGTGTGACTATTACAGGATGACTCAGATAACTTTTATTATTTTTATAATTTCAATAAAATGTTGTGGAATAAAAAAATTAACGTATTTGAAAATAATGACAGTAGTCCTTTTGCCTAACAATATATCTTGTGGTTAATATATTGAGTAGCTTCATAATTTACTCAATATATTATTGTGGAAAAATGAATGTATGTAATAATAGATTTTCACAGGTTTTATATATATTGTGAAGTTTTCTTGTTAATAAGTTATTTTAAGTATCAGACTGATTTTAACCTATCCCAAGTTCTTAAAGTAAATTTAATCACAGCGAAGAAATTTGTATATAATCCGATTCCATATCGCTTTTACTTCGTATAATATAATATAATAAAAAACTGATATAAGTAAAATTTCTTATACCCACGTGTGTAAATACGTCTCCTTAATATGGCATCTTTGTTTTTGCGAATTTCCGCATAACAGCTGCTAAATTGTTTGTTTTCATTTGCCGCTAAATGTAGCGTTCGAGAATAATATAGAGAAAGACAGAGATGGCAGAACTATTTCTATGATTCTTCGAAGATTAATTGAGTCTTGTAAGTTTTAATTTTGTACGATTTTATGTTAAACTAATATTAAAAATATGAGAACTGTTAAACGTGGTGCTTTTATTGTTTTGGAAGGATGTGATCGAAGTGGAAAATCGTCACAAAGCCGGTTGTTGTGTAAGTTGTAAATAAATAATAATAATTAGTAAATTACATAGTTCATTCATATTTGCAGACGAATTTCTAAGCAGTAACGGCTACCCAGCAAAGCACATGCATTTTCCTAGCCGCACTACGGAAATTGGCAGCACAATAAATTCATACTTGAAAAATTCCAAAGAATTGAATGATCAAGTAATTCATTTGCTGTTTTCCGCTAATCGTTGGGAGTTTCTTAAAGAAATGCAGGATTTACTAAATGCGGGCACTACTTTGGTTGTTGATAGATATTCATATTCCGGTGTGGCATACAGTGTTGCAAAAGGTGAAATGATGAAATAGTTGACGTCTAATAATGTAACAAGTATATTATATATTCAATTGCATATTTAAGGCATGGATTTCAATTGGTGCATGGCTCCAGAGCAAGGACTTTTACGACCAGATGCTGTATTCTACTTGAAAGCGCCAATTGAGCATCTAATTCAACGTGGTGATTTTGGCGGAGAAAGGTATGAAATGTTAAATTTTAGAGTTTTAATTTAATTGATTGCATTTATTGATACAGATATGAAAAGAGAGAATTTCAGTCTAAAGTGGCTAGTGTATTCGATCGCCTTTGTGAGGAGCAAACAGAGTTGTGGCATACAATCGATGCGAGTGAATCGCAAGCAGTGGTATTTGAAAATATTCGCTTAAAAGCTATGGAAATTATAAGGCAGGCTAAACATGAACCATTGCGTTTACTATGACTTACTGTGCTCCTATTTAAATGTTTTTAATCTAATTGATAAGCACAAAGCGTTTTGTTTGTACTTAATATTAATTTTGTAAAGCACTTCAAAAGTATACTGACATCACATTTCAAATATATTAATATGTAAAATTGGAAAAAAGTTGTCTGGAAGGTTCTTGCTTGTGTTATGATAGAATAGTGAAATATGGAATTAGTTCGCACATTTACACGGATCTTTATGATATATAAAAACAAGGCAATCAAATTTAAAAAATCTCTTCGGATAAATTTAAGCCGAAACATAATTCCCTTGAAATTGGTTGGATTCTATGACGAAAATACCATATCTAAGCAACGCTCATAGAATACAAGATTACAACTTTGAAGGCATATGTTTGATGACGAGGTTGGTTCAAAATCGTTGGTTGCCATAGTCTTTAATAAGTTTATGTGCTTTTGTCTTTAAAACCGCTTAACATATTAATTATAAAAAGCTATAAACGCATAAAATACTTGTAAGCAATTAATAATAATTTGTATCGGTTATGTTATGAGGTAGTTTTTCATTTAAACAACTTAATTTAGTCAATTCAAGTCAATATTTCAATATAAAATCGAGTTTTAATTTCACAAAAATTTTATACACATAGTAACTCTAATTGCCTGATGACATTTGAAAAAATTACATATCCGTTATACCTAAAATTTGTAAATTCGTGGCGGGCGCGTACTGTTAATAAAAAACGAACGTCTAAACGAATTCTACACTTTTTTTTTATAATAACAAGTGCCTTTGTGAAGTGGTGGAAGCTTAAATTTTGCAAAAATTGCTTTTAAAAATTCTAAACGAGGAAGAAGTACACAGTGGTTTGTTGTTAGCCAAGATATGGACAAAATTCGTGTGAGTGATCTAAATGTTATGAAGAATTTTAAATATCAAAATTTCGCACAACTATGCCAAACTTAAGGCAGACGAAACTGACATAATGTAAAATTTTGAATAATAGGATATTAATGACACTGTTTTTGTATAAGTACACCACAGAAATACTTTTTCCTCTTACGCTTTCCTTTTACATTTTCTAAGATTTCCCTAAAATGAAAGTTTAAAAATACTTTGGGTTGTTTATTGCAGCGTAAAGGGTAGTCAAAATTCAAGATTTTGCTTCAAAAATTTTAAAGTGAATGCTGTCAAAGAATATATCCTACTCAAATTGGGTAAGATTCACATATATAGTTATATTTAAGTATATAATGCTCTGTTTGTATTTGGTGGGATCAAAAGTGCGTGTGTATTAAGAGCTTCTAAAACCGGGTGAAACCTTTAATGGGAAACGCTGCCGACTACAGCGAATCAATTTGAAGTGAGCGATTGCCAAAAAACGCCCGCACTTTACGATTAGACACGAGATAAAATCTTTCATTCGCCTTATAGACATACCTTGCCTCTTCTGACACTATCCATTTGCTCTAAACGATGCAGATTGGGCTCACTGGAATACGGTTCACATCAGAACAGGGTATCGAAAATTGGCTAGATTCATTGTTGGCCGCAAACCAGCGCAGTTCTTTTGGGATAGAATCCACAAATTGCCGAAAAGACGTGGAAATAATATAGCTTCTAATGCGCAATGCTTTGAGTAATACTTTTTTTTATACACTTTTCTCTTAAATATGGTAAACGTACAAATTAAAAAAAAACCCTTCTGAATATAGTTACACACCATATATTTTCTTTCAAAAAAAAAAGTAACGGGACGAAACCACCGTAACCTCTATTTCTGTCATTCTTGCATAATTTTCAGGTTCTCCAACAGATCTTAAGAAGGAATGCGCTCAATCATAAAAATATTGACTTTATTGATTTTTTATTGACTAGAAATCTAAACACACACATACATATTTATACATAAATAAAAAATTTGTTCCTTTACTGCAAACTAAATTTATGCTACGTATTTATTTGTAAGTTACTTTCAATTACATAATTAGCACTGGTTCCTATTTTATGCGTTTAAAATCACTTTACGAAATTAGATAGCTCTCGTTGTCATTAGCGTCGTCAGCAAACAAGTAAGTCGTCATCAATAAAAAAAAAATGCCTCAATTGTCCTCGAAGGCCTCAAAGCCAACGCCATTGGTATTCGCATTACGACGCAATCCATTGATATCGAACAGTTCAGCTTGTTGCGGCTGTATCTGACGATAGCCCTCGCCCTGTTCATAATCGGCATTTGCCTGCACATTCGCATACGCGCCAAAACGCTTCTGCGCCTCATGGTAGGCTGCGATATCGCCATTGTCATGCTTTGGCCACATGCATTCACAACCCGAGGGCACAATGCGTATTTCCGACTCCCAACACTCGTCACTGGATGCTTTATTGCGTCTTATCAGGTGTATGGTGCGATTCAGTTGGATGCAGGAGAAGCCCGCCTCTGAGCAAATCTGTGAATTGAGAGCAAAATTAATGAGTTTGATTTGGTGTTGCTTACAATTGGTGAAACTTACGCGATTTTTTCTCAACTCATAGCTATGTGCTGGTGTATAATGTGCGCACGTGACTTCTATATAATTACTGGGGCGATATTCGTAGCCGGAAGTCTCGAGCGGTATCGCGATGCGTTTTGTGGGGCACAGCGACTGATAAGTGATCTGCAGAAAGAATAATAATTTTATTAAAACAAGTTGGTTTTTTTTTTTGGTATTTAGTATACTCACCGATTTGGTATGATCTGGCTTATGGCGCGCCATACGTTTGCGCACATTCTGTATGCCATAAGGCAGACCCAAATCGAGCTCCTCTTCATTCTCAGAATCCCCAGCACTTTGATCGATGGACAGCGCTGCTGAACGGCGCGCAAATTTCGTTTGATGGTAGCTCTTCGCGCTGAAAGTTGCAAGCGTTACAGCGAAATAGTTAATTAATCAAAGCGACATGCCACTTACATTTCGTTCTGGGCACACATACCACTATGCTGGGACTCGCCATTCGATACTTCGTAATCGCTGCGCAAATTTCTCTTAACATCTTTGTTGTTCGCTGCGTTATGTATACGCGCTGCATGCTGATATGCACCAAATATTTCATTTAAATCAGATTTCTTCTTTGTTGCCACTTTCTCCGTTGCCTCTTCCGGTGTTGGTGGAAAATCGTCGAGCGCTGAGTCGTGCTTGTGACTGGCTTTCGCTTGGGATTCTTTGATGCTTGTTTTTCCAATGCTTGCAATTCCATTTTGTAATCGTTGCTGCTGTTGTTGTTGCAAATAATCACTGTATGCCATATTGTTGTTATTGTTATAATTTAAATCATAAGCTCTGTGCTGATGATTATCAGCAAAGTATTTATACTTGGCTCGTTCGTACCGGAGTTGTTGTTGCTTTAGTCGTTGTCGCGCTGCCACAAAGGGATTATTGTTGTCATCAGCGCTGTTTTGAATGTAATCATCATTGCCGACGGGACGTAAGGTGACGACTCGCGAAATGCATAACGACGTCGAAACAATGACGAAAAGCACCTGGAATGTGTGGGAAAGTAATGGGTGAATTTTGTTGTGCACAGAAAAGTATAAATACATTTTTAAAAATATTTTAAAATTAATATTGTGTAATCATTACACAATACGGCTACTACTACTCTTTTTGAGTATTGGACGAACCAATTTTTTTCTGAGTTTGAGTCTTCAGTAAAAAAGTAATTTCTCTGTTTTTCTGTATTTTTCAATATTTTCTAAAATCGAATGCTTTCGAAGTTTTTTTTTTTTTTAATTATTATATGTATGCGTTCATAGGAAAATCAAATTAAAGGCTCCACCCACGTTTTTCTTTCATTCCAACATTTTGCCTGTCAAGCCTATGTAAGAGATGTTATAAGATTTCAAAGACAAGATAATACTTTTGAAACAAGAAATTTTACTTTTTTAAGATCCGTCTTTGACCTCTATATATACATTTTTTATAGCTATAACCTAAAGCTAAAGTATTAGATTTCTGAGATATGTATTTTGAGGTTATGTTACATATGAAAGATTGTTAAAATTTTAAATGACGATTTTTTACCATGAAAAATATTTGAACTAAGAGTTTGCTTGAAATTTTGTGTTTTCAATGAATGGCGAAGGGCCTGAAGTCATCGGAAACTTGCCTTATGCCGCGTCGAAAAAGTTAAAGAAACAGTGCTTGAAAAACGTGGCGTTGGGATCAGGGAGATACTAAAGGATCTCAAAATGTCTTATGGATCGACTTTACACTACTATGAAGTGTGTCAATGTCAATGACTATTACCAAAAGATCAGACTTTTGCAAAAACGACGTTAGTTAGAGGTCGCAAAAGAGATGCTTGACAAAGTATTGTAGCTGAATGCATTATTACTGCTGACAATACGAAATTTTATGAGTATAACGTCGAAACTGTTTAACAATCTAGTGAGTATGGAAAATTGGATTATGCATTGGGATTCTTATATTGGTTTAGGAGCCTAGTTTGAAGGCGATAATAAAGATTTGATTTTGCGTAAAAAAAAGTGAAAGTATAATGTTTTTAACAGCTTTTATTTGAATACTGTTAAGTGTCGATGTTCTATGATTGAATCTCAGAAGAGAGTGAAATGTTAGACTTCGAATTGCTCTAGAAATAACTTAATTACAATTGAACTTATGCTAGCTTTAGTGAATCGCTATGTTAAGTTTAAGGATGTCTACTATGTGGTGATATGAGAAGAGTTCAATTTAAGAGCGTAGAGGAATATTTGGCGAAGGAAATAAAGCAAAAAATAATAATAAAATTAATTAACAAAAAGGTCGAGCTTTTAGAGAAAAATGGTCAAAGCTTCCCTCAAAAATTTACATATAACAAATTTATTGAATTGTATATTTTGCGGTGACTCTTTTTTTTTTATTAAACTCGATTATATTTCTTTATGATACGAGAATCTGCGAAGGAGAAACGAACTATATCCTTAGAAACGATAATAAAATACTTAAATTTAAGTGTAAATATATGTAAATATAATATAATGCACAATACATACACAGGTAACCACGTTTTATATAAATATACGCATATATACATATATATATATATACATATATGAATGCATATTTTTCAGTGTAACGAGTTGTGGAAACTTTTACCTCAAATCGGATTACAATTTTCTTTTCAAAGGCTGTCAAGTGAAAGAAAAGACAAGTAACACGCAATTTCACATGCACGTACATACACATACAAGTAAACCATAGACAGTTAACACACAGCTAAACCCTTTTTTTGCGAAAAATTCCCAACTTTCCACAAATGCTCAACCGGGCGTATGAGTGACAACACGTGAATTTATGCTTGTATGCCTGCCGTGTACCCAAAAGTGACTTAAATTTCTTCTTGGCGATCAGATATACGATGCAAAAACTTTGCCAACACGCCTGTAATCGATGATTAAATATGTAAGTGCGGTCAAATCTTATAACCAACCATGAGAGGATTATGCGTAGCGACACTTTCGCACAAGATAGTGCACATAAGAATATGCATGGTGAAGGATTTCTTGGTAAGCTAACTATTTGTATTTTTCGCTTTGAAAACAATACTCTGCGTAAAGTCAATAAAAGTTGAGTTTTTTGGTTTTTATTTTTGCATGAGCGCCGACTTGCTAGCACGTATATCCTGATCAAATTCTGAGAATATTTTGGAATGTATATGCTTGTCACATAGTGGTGCACATATACACATAGGTACATAAATGCCTTGTGTAATACAACAATGAGATTATGGCGAAAAGTTGTTTCAACAACTTGCATGCAAAGTTTGAGGCGCGTATAAATTGTATTTCATGTAGTTGTTTAGAAAGTCATTGCAAGCGAAGAAAGCGGTTGCTTGAAGGTCGCGTGAATTGTGATAAATCTTCATCTAATTCGTTGTTCTTCTTTTAGGTAGGTTACTGCGTGGTTTCTGATCTTATTTATGCTATCAAAGATGTTCCGAAAAGAATTTCAAGTGTTTATTTAATTTTAATATTATATACTTTTATTTCTGGATGATATCACACCTTGCTTTTTAGATTATTGAGGGATCTCACAGATTAATTTTATTGTAGATACATCACAAACAAATTTCCTTTCTCTTTTTCTCTTTCTTTTGGCATATCGATATTTTTCTCACTCTATTTCTTTGCATTTCTCGCTCTTTCGGAAACGGAATACTATTGAATATAGCTGTCATACAAACTGGCCGATCAAAATTAAGTCCTTATATGGAAAACTGTTTTATTTGACGAGATACCCTCAACAAAATTGGCATAGATTGTTGTCCAAGACATGGTGCTCAGGAATATATTCGCCAAAGAAGATCACACATTTTTCTGGTTACTTAAATTTCAAATTAATATTCCCCAACACTACTTCAATTTTTTAAGCATAAAATCACAGCATCAACACCTAATCTGTGGCATTAAAGAAGAGCTTTAACCGAAATCTTTGCAAAGTTTCTACTAAAAATCTTCGCATTTAACTAAATCCTGTTTAGAAATATTTTGCCACGCCTGGTTGGTTAGTCGCACACGTCCTAATTTCGATATACTTGCTTCACAGCTCTCACGTTTCATCTTCGTTACTTTTCTACGGTGTTAAGTAAGTTCTGCTGTAAAAAGTTATGTTGCGCATTAAGTTGAGATATTTGTCGAAATAAAAAACTAAAAACTAAGCTCAACTAACTTTGACAACAGTTGCTAGTTGGAGTGCTGCAACTTCAACCACTGGACAGAATAAAAACTTGCAAAAAAGATTAACAGAAATAAAAAAAATAATAATAATATACATAATAGCACTGCACAGTGGGGTGGTTTGTAAAAGTGATAGGGCAATTGGTGTTCTAACTAAAACCTAAAGTTATATAAACTTATAGCAGTGCTATCTAACAATCGTCCACAGTCGACTTCAAACTAATAGCACCCACCATTATTTAAATAATGAAATAATATTCAAAGGTAAATTATAAAACATCAATAATCAAAGCGAATCAGTGTCAAAACTTGATTGAAACTGTAATTTGAATTTGTAATTATTTTAGTGCCTTGAATATGAACTAAAGGGCACAGGTCTTCTCAAAATAAATAAAATCATTCGCAAAATCATTCTCTATGCGGAACAGTCTAAACGTCGATCTTAAAAGGTTAAATCCACTTGTGAATTTAAAGATAATCAGTCAAATAGTTTGGGAGGTATGAACGTATTTGTCAAAATTTTGAAATCGGCTTCCAAAACTTTAAACACATTTTTACGAAACGCTGTTCTCAGAGGCGGTGAGGCACATTTCACCGAAATAAATCAACTTGAAAATTTCACGCGACCTTCTTAAATATACGGTTCATTTAATGACTGAAGTAACAAGATTTTTGACAATATTTTCGATTTTTTACCATAGTCTGAAGAGTAACTTTTTTTTCCACAAAAACCAACTTTTATCGAAAACCCGCCTCAAAAAAAAAAATTTTTTTGACTAATCCTTTGATCATTATCTGTACTTATCTATAGTAATTAATATACATATTTTTTTGAAAAGAAAAATCTTTTCCATCGCCAGACACCATCTTTCATAGGTGCTCCTGGAGATCGGCTACGGCATCAAGTGAATCTAAAAGCTTTTAAAATGAGTCGCTGATATTTAATTAAACTACATTCAGTTATGAAAATTTACATCTTTTATTTATTTTTATGAAATTAAATGCCTCTTAAAAAAATTCGCAAAAGAATCTTTCTTGACTTTTATGTGACCAAAAATTTAAAATGTTTCAAGCTTAAGAGCGACCGCTTGAAGTCAGACATTATTTCGATCTCTCTTTTCAACCAAATCAACTAACCATAACAATTGTCTCAGATGTAACAGATTATTGTAATATGGTCCTTGGTCGCGTCAGCCTGCTTCGGTTCTAATACTCTCGTATATACGTATATAGAAGAAAGATATTTTTTATGAAATTCTTTGATAATTAGACTATACCTGTAACAAAAAATTAAGGCATTCATGAAATTATCTAATAAAAAATGTAAGTATTGTACTAAATATATCTAAAAATTGTAATCTAACACTTTTAATTAGGCTTTTAGTGAAAAAACACTCATAAATTTGTTGTAACAAATTCCTGAAAAATAACCACTGTGCAGTTAAGCAAACTTAGACCGCACATAACATGCAAAATGTTTTGAAGTTGTAGTTGTTATTATTTCCCTGTGTTGTTTACTAACACAACGACCATTTCACCTAATTTTCCCAGAGACAAATGCCTACAGGTCTCTGCTATACTTACGAAGTTAGTTTAGTTAGTTTGCATGCTCTGCCACTAGCATTACGGCATGCCTAGAATCCCTTAAATACCACAACAGCGTACAACATAGTTTGCCCAGAACTTTGCTTCTTATTGTGTTTTGTTGTAAATTTTTTTTTTTTCAACTTTATTACAATCTTTCAATGTCTTCCTGCTTCACTGCTTTACGTCTTTCATATTGTACCGAATTTTAGTTGTTTCAT